GCAAGCGTATCTGAACCAACTTGCCGGAACACTCGCAGAGTTTCTTGAGCACTTTCGTTCCTCCAGCGCTACCAACAGTAGTTGGCCCAGGCGTGGTTGAAGAAACGTCCAGGAAGCAGGCCAAGATTCCTTTCAGGGAACCTTCTTGTGAACGTTTTCTTCTTCGGCTATTCGGCATCGGGCGGAAGGGGGGGGAGGGGGGGGTCTGGCTCTGGACCTCTGCTTACAACGACTGTTTGCAGCAGTGAATCCTACGGGGGAGACTCCACCTGCGTGAAACAGGCGCCAAACACAGCCAAGGTCTACTCCATAGGGGGGGAATAAGGGGGGTGCGAGGGCCCGCGCCGATCGGCAAAACAATGAATACGAAAGCGACGGCCTTGATCATGATTTCGGCGGTATGCTTGGGGCAAAACGTCACCTTCCGACTTCCTGCGGCATTCCGCCCCCGGACCCGCCGCGCCGCCTTACCTCCGCCGCTCCCCGCCAGGGAAGACGCGGTGCTCTCCCTCTCCCTCGAAGGCGGGACCCTCTCTGGAACGCCGCCGCGCATTGAGGACGGCCGCTTCGCGCTCTTTCTTACTTCCGCCGCCCTCCGCCAGGCAAGAGATGTCCATTTCTCTCCATCGTAGGCGAGGCCAGCTCTAGAAGAAGAAACTACATAAACATAAACTTTCGGCGCTCCGCGCGGATTTCGTGAATCGGCGCTGGACCCCCTCCCTGGCGCGCGGAGCGCGCCAGGGGCGGCGCAGGAGGCTCCGCCGGGGGGGGACCCAGCGCGGATCCAAGAAATCTGCGTGAAGCGCTCAACATTCATGTCTACGGCGTTTCTTCTCGAATCTCTCGAACGCCGCCGCGCCCAGGTATCGGGCGGCTGAAATTTCTCGACGCGGTATCCCCCGAGGTCTTGACCTTTTCTTTACCTGTTCCCCAGGGCTGCTCTTCATCTGGAGTCACTTTTTGATCGCCCCCAGGCCCTGCGAGGTCCCCCCGAGGCAGAAAATTGCGAAGAGTTGAGTTGACAGCCCCGGGGCCCGGTGGGGAAGGCGCAGAGGTGAGGTTATTAGAGGAACATCGCGCAAAACGGCCCGTGCAAGCAGGAAATATCGGTATCCCGCTGGGTATGCTCCCTGACCCCACCATGGGATGCCTGGGATACCCCCCCGCCCCCCCGAGTCGGAGGCCTGGGCGCATCGGGGTGAGCCACGACGAAGCCAGGACGAGGATGATATCGGGTGAGGACAACTCGACAACCTTTGAAATGTGGAGGCTCTGGAGGCTGTCTCTGGCATCGCGGCCTCTTCAGAGCGTTCCGAAGCGCTCTGACGTCCTATAGCCTTATAATACGCCAAGCATACCCTCCAAATGAGCAAACATAGTAATAAAAAAAAATCGTCCCCTGACTATTTTTTGACTGTTTTTGAACACTCCCCCTATAGAGACAGGCCCGACTTAACTATAGCCCCGCCCGGTCTACGAACCCCCGCGTTGGAGGTGTGGGCGCACCGAGGTGAGCGCCCGGCCGCGGGCGGACCGGGAACGCGCGCCCAGGCTCGGCATCGCTGGGCTTTTTTGTTCGATCTCGTGCGTGGCTTCTTCGCCAGATGATCAAGGATGCTCCTCGATGGCCCTCGCCGAGGGAACAATGCACACGCCCGAGCGATGCCAAGTCCCCGGACCTCTCCCGACGCGCGCTCTGACCAGACTTCCGAGGCGAATCCGGCGGCGGCGACGTGGGCCTCCCAGGGGGGCCCAGAAAGGCAGAGACGAGCGAAGGGGACCTACCTGGGCCAGAAGAGCGTTCTTCAAGAGCAGGAGACCCTCCACTGGCCAAAGCACCCCAAACTCCAAGATTATTCGGGGGTGCCCTCCCCCCAGATGCGCAAGAGCATCCACCACACTTCTCTCGTCGGCGGCGAGGCAGAGGCAGTCCGCTCCAGCGCGAGGCTAATCGGGACAACCGAAAGGCTAATTGGCTGGCGTGCGAAAGGAGGGGAACAAGACGAGGGCGGCCGCGCCGGGGGGAGGGGAAGGGGAAAGCACTCAGACGTGGAATCGGGGGCGGCCAAGAGGGGGGTGTCCAAGAGGGGGGGGTGCAAATCATGACCGGCGGCATGTGCGCGGCCCAGCGGGGGGACCAGGGAGGTAATGAAATAAGAAGAGGCGCCATGAAATCTAGGGAAATATCATGGCCCCCGCCATGATATCCGCCCCCCCCTAGTCATCACCCCCCTCTTTGCCGCCCCCGATGGAAGTCCCGCGCCGAGCAGGGGGGCGGCCAGCCGAGGCGGCGGGGACGGGGGCAGAAGCCGAGGCCGAGGCCAGGGCGCACCCACGAGCGCTGCCAGGGCGCAGCGACGACGGCGAGCGAGCAGGGAGCCAATCCGGGAGTCCGAGGGCCGCCACCAGCAAAATGCTGGAGGAGGAGTAAGAGGAGGAGGAGGAGGAGGAGGAGGAGGAGGAGGAGGAGGAGGAGGAGGAGGAGGAGGAGGAGGAGGAGGAGGAGGAGGAGGGAGGCGGGGAGGAGGAGGAGGAGGAGGAGGAGGAGGAGGAGAGGAGGAGGAGGAGGAGGAGGAGGAGAGGAGGAGGAGGAGGGGAGGTAGGAGGAGGAGGAGGAGGAGGAGGAGGAGGAGGAGGGAGGAGGAGGTGGAGGAGGAGGAGGAGGAGGAGGAGGAGGACGGGGAGGAGGAGGAGGAGGAGAGGAGGAGGAGGAGGGAGGAGGAGGAGGAGGAGGAGGAGGCTGAGCCCACCCGGTGCACCGACTGTGTGGTGTCACGGCCCCAGAGCGGCATCCGCGACGGGGGCCGGGCGCAGCGCCGGAGCGACAGCATCTAACAAAGACGAAAAACACGAGGCTACCCTCCCCGAGCCGACCTCGATCCGACGGTCCGACGGCACCTTCTCCTCCGAATGACACGGAGGAGTGGACCCCTACGCGGGCCGCGCGCGCTCTCGGGCGCGCCCCCCCCGCGGCGGGAGGCGGGCCCCCCCCGAGGGGGGCGGCCCTGCACGGCGGCGGCAGCGGAGCGACACGGGGCCGAGCCGAACCCCAGCGGGCAAACCACACAACGAGAACAGCACCCAGGACTCAGGGGAGGAGGAGGGGCAGGAGGAGGAGGAGGAGGAGGAGGAGGAGGAGGAGAGGAGGGGAGGAGAGAGGAGGAGGAAGGATGAGGAGGAGGACGAGGAGGGCGAGGAGGAGGAGCAGGAGGAGGAGAAAGACGAGAGGAGGAGGAGGAGGAGGAGGAGGAGGAGGAGAAAGGGACGAGGAGGAGGAGGAGGAGGAGGAGGAGGAGGAGGAGGAGGAGGAGGAGGAGGGGGGAGGAGGAGGGGGAGGAGGAGGAGGAGGAGGAGGAGGAGGAAAAGGTGCCCATGCCACTACCCTTCCCCCGTTTTCCCTTTTGGGGGCCTCCTGGGCCACCCCCGTCGCCACCGCTGGCTCCGCCTCGAAACTCTGGCCAGAACGCACCCCGGGAGAGGTCCCGGGGAGCAGCTAGCGGTATCGGTACCTCGTGATTTCCCCGAGCAGGGCCGCTCGGGCACGCGCGGGCCTGGACAAGAGGTGCGTGCAGCGGGCAGGCTGGAGGGGCCGAGACCCGTGCTCGTCGCTGTCTGCATGAGGGCGTGGCCCGTCGCGAGTCCACGCGCCTGCATCCATGTTTGCGCTTCCTCGATGTACGACTTGATCGGGCCTGTCCCCCTACAGGGGGATTTTGGACGAAAAATAAAACATACCCCCAAAATACCCAGAGATGCCCAACACAAAAAATCCCATCCAAAACCCCCCCCGACTATTTCTTTACCATGCTTGAATACTCCCCCTGTAGAGGGACAGGCCCGACTTAAATGTGCGACCTGTCGTGCGCTATGCGAGCGAGGGAGCGAAGGACGGCCCCCTTCCGGGGGGGGGGGGGGGGGGGGGCGAGCTGCCCCCGCTCGACCTGCAGCTCGGGCGAGCGACGTCCACTTACTCCGAGGCAGGGCGCTAGGAAGAGGTGCACCGAGGCCGCTGCACTGCCGTCGTCGCCACGGCACGGCGCCAGATACGCCCCGAAATCCTGGCCAGAACGCACCCCAGCACGCTACAGTCGACCCGTATCACAAGGATGCGCGGTGAGGATGCAAGGGCCTTGGAGGCCCACGTGAACGTTTTTCGAACGAGGTTGGCCAGCGAAAGTCGCTGACTAAGGATGGGCCGAAGGGGCAAGGCTGCGAGGGTACGCTTGGGAAGGTTGCCCATCCTTGCCATGCGGGGTGACTGCATTTGTTGTTTGCCTGCTTCTTATTGTTCTTATTATTCTTCTTATTCCTCTTATTATTCCTCTTCTTCGTATTCGTCTTATTATTATTTTAAGTATAATTCTTAGTATTAGTATCATTGTGTTTCTTCTTTTTATTAGTATTAGTATTTTTCCTCTTCCTCCTCCTCTTCCTCTTCCTCTTCCTCTTCCTCTTCCTCTTCCTCTTCTGCGCCATGCACTGCCCTGCGGCCACGCAAGCCGCGGCACAACCCCCTCACGAGGCCCCGGGAGAAGTCCATGTGGGCCCAACGGGGCAGCGCCCGCCCACGGCGGCGCCGAGGGGGCACGGCTCCTCCTCCTCCTCCTCCTCCTCCTCCTCCTCCTCCTCCGCCGACGGGGCCCAGGGACACGCTGCCAAGTAGGCACAGGTCCCAGGATTCCCCACGGCCTCCCCTGCTTTCTGGCGCGTCGCCCTGCCCCCCCCCCCCACGGCTTCCCAGATCTTCCTGGGAATTGAGGATGGATTATGCCTGAGTGTGTGTGCGTGTCTGTGTGTGTGTGTTTGTGTGTGTGTGTGGGTGTGTGTATCTGTGTGTGTGTGTGTGTGTGTGTCTGTGCGTGTGTCTGTGTGTGTGTGTGTGTGTGTGTCTGTGTGTGTGTGTGTCTGTGCCTGTGCCTGTGCCTGTGCCTGTGTCTGTGTGTGTGTGTGTGTGAATGTGTGTGTGTGTGTGTGTCTGACAGTCTGTCTGTCTGCCTGTCTGTCTGTCTGTCTGCCTGTCTGTGTTTTGTTCCCCCTCCCGGTCTGTGGAGGGGCGGTGCCCGAATCCGCTCGTTCCCCCACCTGCCCACCTGGGGGGGGGCACATGTCTGGCCCCCTTTCCAGAGCTCCGCAGCGAGACGCCGCCCGCGGCGGCCCTCGTGCCCCTCCCCCTCCTTCCCACGAAGAGTAGCCGAGCGCGCTCGTCGCTTCTGCCTGCGCGTCCTGCCAAATGCTTGGTTTCCTGCTGCTGTTGCTGCTGCTGTTGCTGCTGCTGCTGCTGTTTGCTGCCGCCCCTCCTTCCGCTTGCTCCCCCCCCGCTCGCGTGCTCCGAAAACGGGTGTGGCCGGGCGGAGGGGGCCTGACGGTGAAGACGCCATGGCCCGAGACACGCGCGCGGACGAGGGGGGAACCCCAGGGCGCGCTGGGCGAAGAAGGCGGGGCCATGGGATCCGAGCGAACTCGCGGCCTCGGCCAAAATTCGGGGATGGACAGACCCCCTTTTAGTAAAACGTGGTTTAGTGAAAACGACCTGAGGCCCAAACCTGGCGGGCGCAAGCCTGGAAAATAACGGCCACGGCGCCCTCTCGAGAACCGAAAACGGACAATGCACTAATCGACGTGTCACTGTTGGGGGTTCTGTCCACCCGCCCTTGGCCCCCACCTGGTTTTGGGAGAAGCGAGCCCCGAGGGACGCGGGTCGTGGGCCCTGCGGCCTCCCCCCAGGACGAGATCCTTGTCCTGGGCCGTTTTTTCTGACAGCTCCGGGTCCTGTGTGGAAGGCCCCGAGATGAAGGGGCCCCAGGACACACAAATAAATACACACAATTAAAAGGATTCCCCATATCTTCCAGTATCTTCTGGGTTTTTGTTTTCCCCCCACTTCCCATATTTTCCCATCTTTTCTGGGGATCGACGATTCATTGTGTCTGTGTGTTTCTTTCCCTCCCGACGAGAGCGGGAATGCAGAGAAAAACCTCCGGACCCGTGCCCCTCGGGACCCGTGGCCACATGGCGACCCCGCCCCGGCGCCCCCGACGGTCGCGCCAGCCGGCGCTCCCCCGCAGGACCGTCGACAGGTTGTCCTTGTATTGGGCGATGAGTGCGGCCTGCACCTGGTCCTGGCGGGCCCGAGGCCGCCAGGCCCCTCGGCGTCCGCTCATGCGCCCGCCGATCGCTCTCTCGGCAAGCCTCCTTCCCCCTCCTCCTCCTGCTCCTCCTCCTCCTCCTCCTCTTCGTCCTCCTCCTCCTCCTCCTCTTCCTCTCCTCCTCTTCCTCCTCCTCCTCCTCTCCTCCTCCTCCTCCTTCGTCCTCCTCCTCTCCTCCTCCCTCCTCCTCCCTCCTCCTCCCTCCTCCTCCTCCTCCTCCTCCTCTTCCTGCGCCGCGCGCGAGTCTCCCACGGCCGGGGCGCTGTAGTCGGGGGCCGGCGCGACCCCCCCACCACCCCAGGTGCGGGCCGCCGCTCGGCGGCGAGCCGCCCCCGAGGAGGAAGGGGTGCGCCGGCCGGGGCCCATAGCTGGCCCACCCGGGACCACGTAGGCGAGCGCCTCGTCCCCGTGGCCGTCTGGGCCCTGCGGCCCCACCGCCAGGCACCGCGGCCCCACCGCCAGGCGCCGCGATCCCACCGCCAGGCGCCAAGCGCCAGCCCGCCGCCCGCAGCCCGGCCTGCAGCGCCGCCTCGCCCCGCCCCGACGTCAGCCAGCGCGCCAGCCCGGGCAGCGCGCCCCGCCAGCCCTAGCCGCCCCCCGCGCCCAGCAGCAGCAGCAGCAGCAGCAGCAGCAGCAGCAGCAGCAGCAGCAGCAGCAGCAGCAGCAGCAGCAGCAGCAGCAGCAGCCCCGCGCCGCCGCCCGCCCGCCCAGTGGCGGTGGTCAGCAGCAGCGCGGCTCCCGCCTGACGGCCATCCCGTCGGGCCCGCTCGCTGGCCGCGCCGGCCGCCCGGCCAGCGGCCAGCGGTCAGCTGATGCCCGAGCAGGCGAGCTCAGGCGCGCCGCGCGCCAGGCCCAAGCGCTGCCGCGCATCAGTGTCGCGGAAAGGCTCTGCAGCGCGGCCGCCAGAACCTGCGGGTCCTCGGCGGTCCTGGTGAACAGCAGGGCCTGCGCCTCCTTGCCAGGCCGGCCCAGCGTCTCCAGGGCGAAGGCGTGCAGCGCAGGCCCCGGGTAGCGCCAGTGATTGCGCTCTTCGGCCGCCGCGGCCGCGGCGCCGGCCCGGGTCGCGCGGCTGCGGCCAGCGCCCGTGCCAGCCCCGAGCACGGCGTCGGTGACTGTGACGTCGACGTACTGCCGCCCTGCCACAGGGCCGACGAAGGCCACGTCGAGGCGCGCGGCTTCCTCGCCGCCATCCGGGCGGGCGCGGTCCCAAGCGGGCCCGTCCTTCCCGGTGGCCCACCTCGGGCTCCGTTTCCTTATTCCTCGTCGTCATATTAATTCAACGCTAAGAAAATATTGTTATAGTTAATCGTATTATGCTTGGAAGTAATGGTCGTCGTCGTCGTCGTCGTCGTCG